GCCGTGGCAGCGGCAGGATGGCCTAGGGGTCTGTCCCGGTGAGGGTGGTAAGATGGAGTCGGCAGGGCAGGGCAGAGGAGGCGGGGGAAGGTCTTGATCTCTGGGGAGGGGCGGATGTGGGAGGGATGGTTGCGGCGGAAGCGGAGGGGACCTCGGGGGCGGGATGTCCCCTGGGAACGACGCCGGCCTTTCCGGTTGCTCCCCGGGGAGAAGAGGCGAACCCTGAGTTCCGGGGAGGTCCCCACAACTCACCCAGGCCGAGACTGGGTGGTGTCAGCCACCAAATAGCATGTCTGACGAGACCCGGCTTGCGCAGGGTGTGTGTGTGGCGGGGGGGGTCCTAGGCCCCCAGACACTGCCCGGCTCTAAAATTCCTCCCTGCACGCTTGTTCAGCGTCACCACCCACACTGGACTAGGATGTGGAGGCCTTCCGACCTTCCACTCTGCCAGACATGTCTGTCCTTAGAAAAACCTAAGTGGGAAAAGCAACTGGAGACTTCTCCATTATAAAGGTAGGTGGACTACAGGGGGCCACGTTTGGTTTATATTTCATCCTGTAAAACTAAAATTTAAGCCCAAATGTGTAATACCTTCATTCACATGGAGTCTGCGCCACCCTCTTGTGCCCAAGGATTCAGAAGTGAGCACAGGCGTTAGCTCACACTTCAGAATCATTAGTCAATAAATGAAAAAGCCCTTAGGTAATTAGAAAACACAGACTGGACAGAAATCTTCATCTCTTTTTTTCTATTCTAACTCGAAAAGCCTCCTGGTGGAACATCTGTTTGACCAGTTCAGCGGTAGGATGAACTTGACACGTAGAGACTCGATATGAATGGAAACGGCCCATCAACGTGAGTCTGTCTCTTAGTCATCTTAGGTCTTCCCCGGTGTTTCGTAACTGACATGAAAAGCTTAACTGCCAACCTGCAGTTAAATTACAGAACTGGGTACTTACATTACTCCTCTTTTTATTATTGAATATCCTTGAGTAACCTCAGAAGGGATAGGTTGTTCAGGAGTCCCAAGTGGAGTCAACTATGTTGATTGATCACAATCAATACTGTGATTATTGTCAAATGACAGAAGACATTGGACATCAAGTTAGGCTTTCCAGGTCACCACTAGTTCTTGTTGTGGTTGTTAGTTACTGTTTTTGAGACAGGGTGGTTGAGGCTGTTTTTCAACTTGCAGTCTCCTGCTTCTGTCTCCTGAATATTGGGTTTGTAGGTGTCCCCACTGTGCCCAACTTATCAATAGCTTTTAGGGTGAGAGCGGCAGTTTCTGTAAGAGATGGGAAGGATGGCTTGAATGTTTTTCCTTTTAAGTACTTGGATACTCTTCCCCAATAAACTGATTGGAGTGTGACATCTGAAGACATTAGCAATAGGTTACTTATTCTGTAAACTAGAGGTGTAACTGAAGAATAACCCTTGGTATGAATGAATGAATTTTATGTCTTCTCAGTTTTTTAAGTAGTTTTTGTTTTTCAAGATAGACTTTCTGTGTGTAACTGTCCTGGTAGTCCTGAAACTCACTTTGTAGACCAAAGCTGGCCTCGAACTCAGAGAGATCCACCTGCCTTTGCCTCCCGGGTTCTGGGATTAAAGGTGTGTGCCACCGTCTCTCTCTCTGTCTCTTTTGGCAGATGCAGGTTCTCCATCGCTCTGAACACACCCTAAAGAAAGCTCTCATCTCTAAGAACCCAGTGCTTGTATCACAGTATGACAAGTTAGATGCTGGGGAGCGACGTTTAATGAGTGAAGCCTTTCAGCCATCCAGTAATCTCTTTGGACCTATTATTGTGCATTCACAGTCAGATTGGATCAACTCCCACCCCGAAGTTCCCCAAGATTTTGAGCAGTTTTTCACTGATAGCCACAGAAAAGCACCTGGTCCAGAAAAACACATTATCTATATACAATCCATTGGTATGTCCTGGGAATGTGGTGGTTGGGGTTTGGTTTTGCTGTGATGTTGTTTGACCAAATTCAAGTGAGCAATTTTTTTTTTTTGGTTTGTTTGTTTTTGTGTTTGTGTTTTTTTTTTGTTTCTCAAGGCAGGGTTTCTCTGTGTAATAGTCCTGGCTGTGGCACTCACTTTGTAGACCAGGTTGGCCTTGAATTCACAGAGATCCACCTGCTTCTGCCTCCCTGAGTCCTGGGTATATACCACCATGCTTGGCTTCAAGTGAGCAAGTGAGCAATTTTCTATGCCTTCTGATTTTTCTTTTGTCGTTGTCTTTTTCTTTTTCTTTCTTTCTTTCTTTTTTTTTTTAAGTGCTGGGAATTGAACTCAGGGCTCTATGCATGCTAGGCATTTTATCGTTTGTGATAATTAAAATATTATTGTGTTCATGGTGTGGGAGGGGACACACCTGTGCTATAGGACAGCTTTTGTAGAATTTGTTCTCTGCTTCCAGTGAGGATGTCAAGTGTGTAGCGAGCACCTTTCCCTACTGAGCCATCTTATTGGCCCTGCGATTGATCCCTGTTGACACTCCTTCCAGGGGTAGGAGTGTTGTAGCCAAACTGCTTAACAGGGAAATTCTTTTCTCTTGACTTCATGTTGTCATCAATGACTGATTAAGAAGCATTGAGGTTTTAGAGTGGGTTCTGTTTCCAGTTCGAGACAGTTTATAGAATAAGGTGAAGAGTGTTTCTATCATTTTTAAAGTGTATCTTAATTTCCTACCCTTCCCCCATCCTGTAGGCTCTCTAGGCAACAACAAAGTTATCAGTGAAGAATATATTAAATGGCTCAAGGGCTACTGTGAAGCATTTTTCTATGGTTTGACCGTAAAATTCTTAGAACCAGTTTCAATCTCTGAAACGAAGTGTTCCTTTAGAGTGAACGAGCACACACAAAACCTACAAATCCATGCAGGTAAATGAAGCACCTTGGCAATTGGAATGTAGCAGAAAGGGTGTATGCATGTCATATATATTATTTGTGCATTTCTTCTCAAATAGGGCATATCCTGGCATTCTTGAAAAAGAAGAAACCCGAAGATGCTTTCTGCATCGTGGGGATAACAATGATTGATCTTTACCCACGGGACTCCTGGAATTTTGTCTTTGGACAGGCCTCTTTGACAGATGGTACTCCTTTTTGGTACTGTTTTGATATTGTTCAGCTTGAGGGTGTTTTAAATTATGCAGAGAGTTGGAAAAAGAACTCCGTCCAGTAGTGTTTTCAATATTTAGAACTGTATGTCCAGTGCCGCTCCTTGTGTGCCACAGTGGGAAGTGTGCTTTGAAAGACTGATGATATGGGACCCTCTTCAGGAGGCCACATCCCCCTGCCTGACCTTGAAGTGATGATGCTTTTCTCACAGAGTCATTTGGAGATGATTTGTGTAACAGTTCCTACCCATAGTGCTTGAGACGCCTGGTACATACCCAGGCATTCAGCTCAGCATCTGGGGATCAGCAAGACAAACAACTTAGGGAGAATTGAGCTGTCATTAACATATGTAAAATCTAACTAATTCTCTTCCTGTGTGTGTTGGGGGTGGCGGGTGGCTCACATGCACAGTACATGGCATTCAACCCTGGCCTGGTTCAAAGCAAGGACTCTACCACTGAATTACATGCATCCTGTTTTAGCTGAGGTTTCTTTTGCTGTGAAGAGACACCACAGCAACTCTTATGAAGGAAAAGATTTAATTGGGGTGACTCATTTACAGTCAGAGTTCAGTCCATTATCGTCATGGCAGGAAGCAAGGCAGCATGCAGGCAGACTTGGTGTTGAGGATTCTTACATCTTGACCCACAGACAACAGGAAGTGGTCTGAGACACTGGGGGTGGTTTGAGCATGTGTGTATGTATGTATGTATGTATGTATGAATATGAGACCTCAAAGCCCACCGTCACAGTGACTCACTTTCTTCAACAAAGCCACGCCTCCTAATAGTGCCACTTCCTATGAAGCTTGTGGGGGCCAATTACAGTCAAAACTACCACATATCCCTAGTCCTTGCTAGTTGATTTTCCACTTTTGATCAAGCACAGATAGAATAGCCATAAATAAATATATAAGTACATATTTTCTTTTTCAACCTATATTGGCTTTATTTTTCCTTAAGATTTGTGGGTGTAGCTCAGTGGTAGAGTGCTTGCCTAGAAAACCAACTTTGGGCCATATGTGGTAGCATAGCCCTCTAATTGTTGCACTTGGGAGGTGGCAGCAAGAGGACCAGGAGTTCAAGGGTAGCCTCAGCTACCTAGTGAGTTTAAAGTCTGCCTGGGCTACAGATACCCTGTCCAAAACAACCTAACCAAGCATAAACAACAAGAAACCAAAGTTCTTGCTGGGCATGGGGGCACATTTCTGTGATTTCAGCACTGGGGAGGCAGAGGCAGGAAGACCATGAGTTTAAGGCCATCCTGAGCTATACAGCAATCAGTACTCCAGAAGCAAAAAAAAAAAAAAGATGACAATGAAGAAGAAAACCAAACCTGGATTTTGGACATAATAAACTTTAACTCATTAGAAACTGCCTGGCAACATTAAGAGGGATCTGAAAGTGAGTCAGCTTCCTTCCTTCCTTCCTTCCTTCCTTCCTTCCTTCCTTCCTTCCTTCCTCCATTCCTTCCTTTCCTCATTTCTCTAATTTGTTTTTTTCCCCCTAATCTTTGCTATTCTTTGTTTAACTTCACATGTTAACTTCACACACCAGGATTTGAGGCAGTTTGGAAAAGGCCAGTAAACTAAGGGGAGTGGGTATTAGTGCCCTAGGGAGGGGGCAGTGAGAACCAAGGGCTGGAGAGAGAGAGCTGATGGTCTGTCTGGGTGCACAAGGCGGAGGCTTGAGGGCAGGGGCTTCCCACCTGTGGGATATTTGTGTTAGAGGCGGGGCTAGGCTAGAGCTTCTCTCATTACCTCATCCTCAGTGCTCCATCTCTAGGTTCTTCATCAGACTCTGGATCCTCCCAGCATGCCCTTTTGACGTCTTGGGTTACTATCCTGCTGTGTGTTTTTATCCCGATGTCTCCTTTTATTAACATGATAGAAATGAAAACATTAAAAACAAATAAACAAAACAATTTATTCTTTGATCTAGACACTAGTTAATTTATTACATGCATTTGAGGGGAGTGGTTAAGAAATATTACCCAAACTTTCTATTTTAATTATTTTGGTGTGGGGGGAGGTAAATTTTAAAAATATTACATGACATGAAACAAGACATGTTAGGGTAGCAGTTGATCTGATATGAAATGAGTGTATTTTACCACAAGTGGCCTGGCTTTCCTCAAGATTAAAGACTCCTTTTAAACAGAGAAACATTTAAAATATTATGGCTGAAGGGATCACATGCAGTAGACTCACACTTGTTTGATCAAAGCAAGTCACTTCTGGTAAGTGATTCGATTTGCTTCCTTTTAGAATATTCTTTCCCTAAATTTCAAGCATCAGTCTGCAGTTCCCAAGGGTGAGGTGAGGAACACTCTTTTGAATCAAGTTGTATTATACCAGATTACCATGAGTTTACTTACTTATAAATAAAGAGCTCATGAGCACAGTGGTAGAGGACTTGCATGGCATGGCTAGGGCCTTCACTTGCTCCCTAGCACAATAGAACAAAACAAACAAAAAATATTCATATGGCGGAGCACTGCCTCACAGCGGGAGCACTGCTTCATGTGCTTGAGTCTCTGGTTCTGAACCCTAGTAACACATACAAATGTATTAATAGTAACAATTAAAGGACGGAATCAAAGGCTTCTTGTTGGTGAGCAGAGTTGTAGAATAGTCCCTGGACTGTGTGTGAATTAGGTGTCAGACTACTCTTCACTCACGCAGAGATGGAATATAGGCCTTTGCACACTGATACACAGGAAGTCAGTCCCACGGCTGTGTATTCTGGTCACCTGTCACCAGCCTCTTGATAGAGTTGTGCTGTGCTGAAAAAGGAAGTAGGGTGAGGGAAGACGCTCTTCTCTCTGAAGACTCTGTCTCCAGACAGGAGTGACAGTGGGTGCTGCTACCTTAGGGAAAGCCAGAAACTTCACTGATGTGTGAGGCAGAAGTCTGCCCTTGGCTCCTAATGCCAAAATGGTGACTGCTGTTATGTACTGTTTATCACGGCTCTTCTAGAATACTTGACTTGGAGTAGCCCTGAGTAAAGACTATTTAGGAGAAACTCAGTGAAACTTCTACTTTCTCTGGAATTTAACCATTCTTTGATGTTTCTAGGTTTCTTATATATGTTTTTATTAGCATATCTTAATTATGTGTAATAGTGGGATTCATGACACATGTGTGTAATATACTTGGATCAAATTCACCTCCCCATTCCCAGTTCCTCCCACTTCTGTTGATTGCTTCTCAAACAGCCCCCCCCCATCCCTCTCCTTCTGTGAATCAGTGAATTTAATATGGTTACCTATAGGAGTGCATATGAGGGGTCACTAAAGGAGTACAGCGCCTTAGCTATGGCTACCCTGGTGAGGAAAATGTCACCTCCCTCCTCCAGCAGGTCCTCAGTGAGGGTCCTGGACCTGGCGCGTCCTTCTCCCTGAATTGAATTTCTGGGGCAATTGGTTGGCAGGTAAAGATCTCGATAGGGAAGTCTGGGACAAAAGTTGTTTGTATTGGCAAATCTTTTAAGTATTTCTAGTGGTGTGGTATCAATCCAGATGTGTACTGACTGACTGACCAGATGTGTGAACAGTTGTCCTTGGTCTTTCTTTCTATATCTTACCTGGTGAAAAAGATAAGCTTGTCTTCTCTTTGTAGGTGTGGGGATATTCAGCTTTGCCAGGTACGGCAAGGATTTCTACAGCTCACGGTATGAAGGCAAAGTGAAGAAGCACCAACAAACATCTTCCAGTGACTATTCCATTTTTGATAACTATTACAGTCCTGAGATCACTAGTATATTGCTGTGGCGATCCTGTAAGGTAAGTTGCTTGGAAACTTTTTTTTTTTAGGTAGAAATTTTACTTTCCCTGGATTACTTGTAGGTGTCTCCTCTTAGAAAATATGTGTTCCAAGTATGTTTGAAGGACCCCATCAACCAGTATGCTCATCAGAATCACTTGGTGTGCTCTGTAGTATGCAAGACAAGCCCCTTCTCCAAGATCTACTGAATCCGCCTGTGGGGTGAAGGAGCCCAGAATCTGAACTTCTAGGACCCTACTGGCCTAAACTATCCTCCTGCTTCAGCCTCTCAAGTACAGGGATGACAGGCATGCACTACCACATTTTGGTAGTCACAAATACAAACTCATTGTGCCATCATCCAGAACTCACTTGTGAGGGGTCCCACACATGGAATCAGCCAGCCAACATGTTAGCTGCCCCAAAGTGAAACCCTGGTCTGGGAAAATAATGAAATGAACGTTACTAAGTGTAGAAGAGCTGGGCAGAATGAAATTTTGCTGTGGATAGCTATACTGGCTGAGTTTGTGTGTCAACTTGACACAAGCGAGGGTCATCAGAGGAAGGAGCCTCAGCTGAGGAAATACCTCCATGAGATCCAGCTGTAAGGCTTTTTCTCAATTAGTGATCAATGGGGGGAGGGCCCAGCCCGTGGTGGGCGGTCCTGGGTTCTATAAGGAAGCAGGCTGAGCAAGCCCCAAGGAGCAAGCCAGTAAGCAGCTCCTCCCCTTCATGGTCTCTGCATCAGCTCCTGTCTTCAGGTTCCTGCCCTGTTTGAGTTCCTGTCCTGACTTCCTTCAGTGATGAACAGCAATGCTGAAGTCTAACCCAAATAAACCCTCTTCTCCCCATCTTGCTTTCTGTCATGAAATTTTGTCACAGCCGTGGAAACCTTTCTAAGACAACGGCAATAGTGTGGATTCCTATAACTGTGTTTCTGGGGAAAAGTGTGTAATTGCTAATGGTGGTGCCATAAAGCAGTGATATGCTTCTCTTTTAGACTCTAAGCCATGAGATTGGACACATATTTGGACTTCGACACTGCCAGTGGCTTGCGTGTTTAATGCAAGGCTCCAATCACTTGGAAGAATCTGACCGGCGTCCTCTAAACCTTTGCCCTATCTGCTTACGCAAGCTGCAATGTGCTATTGGCTTCAACATTATAGACAGATACAAAGTAGGTGGGGAGGGCTGCAAAGGGAAGGGAAGTGGTGAGCTAAGTAGCAAACGGTGTTTTCTATTAGGTCTTTGAAAGCTATGATTTATCAGAGGAAATTAGGTAAAGATAAACAGGAAACTGTGGTTTAAAAAAAAATGTAAAGAGAGCAGGCAAGGTGGCTCTGTGGTTAGATCCTTTGCTGCCTTGCCACGAGAGCATGAGGCCCAGAGTCTGGGTCCCTAGGACCCACACATAAGTGCCCACCTATAATCCCAGTGCATGGGATGTGGAAACAGACTCCTAGAAGCAAACTAGTTAGCCAGACTAGCAGACTAGCAAGCTTTAGGTTCATCAGGAGAGACCCTGCTTCAGTGTATAAGGGAAAAGAAACACCTGAGGTCAACCTTGGGCTTACATGTGCACACACTGAACACATACACTATGTGAAAAAAATGCAGAGAAATACCCACTTTAAATCTTCAGTGGGCTAACGGTGCTTCCTCCCCTCATCCCAGCCCTGCAATGTGAAGACAGGAGTCAGGCAGTCCCAGGAGCCCTGGGTACAAAGAGAAAGCTGACTTCTGCAAATTGTCCGCTGTCCTCTTCGCTTATGTCATGCATACATCCCTGGCTCTCAGCAATATAAATGTTTCTTTGTGGTGGCTAACACCTGTAATCCAGACACTCAGGAAGCTGAGGCAGAATGATTGCTCTTATTTTGAAACCAGCCTGGGCTGTAGATTGAGACCCTGTCTAAAAAGGAACAAAAAGAAACTTCAGTTTAGAGCTTCAGCCATTAATAGTACCCACTGTTCTTGCAGAGAACCTGAGTTTGGTTTCCAACATCCATATAGTGGCTTACAGTTACATAAAACTCCAGTTCCAAGGGATCCAACATCCTTGGAGGGCACCAGGCATACAGGTGGTACACATATATATATGTAGACAAAACAATCTTAAAGATAAACTTTGACAATGACTGGTTTGTTTGTTTGTTTGTTTGTTTGTTTGTTTTTTAGACTGATTTATGTATATTCGTGTGCCCTCTAGGCCAGAGGAGCTTGTCTGATTCCTTGGAGGTACAGGCATTTGTGAGCCACCTAATGTGGGTGCTGGGATCCAAACTCAGGTCCACTGAAAGAGCAGTACATGCTCTTAACTATCCAGCCATCTCTTCATCCCTGATAATGACTGCTTTATACTTACCACTCACTGAGAAATTGGTAAAAGGAATTTATCTGTTCATGTCCAGTTAGATCAAGAAGGATTGACTGTACAATAGAAATGCATACTGATTGGTGTGGTAGAGTTCATCTTTATAAGCATATAACTGTGTGACTGTAATTTTCCAAATATGTGACAGACACAGGAGTCTGTTGGAATAGAATGGATGTCTTTAAGGAGGAAGAGAGACAACTCCTGTGTCCTTGTGCACACATCAGGACACATCCTGGCGGGTACTTGTGGGCTGCCTGCTCATGCAGGGACAGCACTTGAGAATCTCCACCCATCTGCAGTCTTCACATACAGGCCTGCCCTTGCCTTGGGGTATAGTTATGTTTATATTCACATGTGCATTAAGCTAAAAGCTCAGCACACTGCCTTAGCGAATAAGTAAATTGAGAAAAGAAATAATTATCTTGTTATCTAAAATAGTGTAAGAATTAATATAGTTCTTTTTCCTCTGCATATTTTTTGTTGTTGTCAGGTTTTGTTTGTTTGTGTTTTGATGTCGGGTGGTGTTGATAATGTAGCCCAGGCTGGTCTGGGATTCACCGTGTAACCCAAGGTGGCTGTAAACTTACTGCAGTCCTCCTGACTTAGGCCGTTCTTACATTTTTGATTGTGAGCCTAGCCTTTAATGGCTGAGCCATCTCTCCAGCCTGACTTAGGCCTTTCTGGGTGTTGAGATTATAGGTATGAGGAAGCAGACCCAGCTCCTGGATACTTTTGACCATAGTTTTCCATTATGTTCTTTATATTTTTGGTTCATGCTGTTTCTCTTGGTGTCTCTCATGTCTTGTACTCATAGCCCGTCCGCTCCATCAGATGCAGACTGATCATGGGGGACACAAACCACGGATTTGGGAAGCCTGACCGCAATGGCGGTTATTGTGCCTGAGGAGCGTGTTTTGCTGTTGTTTGTTAAAATGCAGTGTTTGTTGTTTTTCAAGGCACTGCTGAGGTGGATCGATGATGAATCTAACGGCTCATCAGGAGCAGCGCCGGTAAATAGCTCTGACCCTGCGAATTTGAAGAAACCTGTGGAAGCTTTTAAGGATTGGAGAGAATGGTTAATAAAATGCATTGCTATTCTGGAAAAATAAGGACTTTCAGATAGGAGTAACCTTAATAAATATTGGCACACTGGGTGTTTGTGGGTAGAGTACTTCATTGAAATAAACCATCTCCTGGCCTATGCTGAGGTTAGATAACAGACTAGAAGCTTCTCTGAAGCCCCTGGACCAGAATAAGGTTCACCAAAAACAAGGAAAACTCTCTCTGCCCTCCCCTCCTGTCTCAATAGCTTTAAGTTGGATTAGCTGAAGCTAGAAGGTAAATAAATAAATACTTTAAAAATGGCTATGTGGCCCAAGGAACGAATGAACACTTTCCAGGGTTGCTTTTGCTTGGGGAAGAGATGCCATCCCTTGTGTGGCACAGCTGAGTCACCAGGGCTGTGAACTTGTACAGGTTGGTTGGCATCCTTGCTGCCTACAGCCTCCCCTTCTGACCCATGGTTGCCCTTCATTCTTTCTTGACCGTTTATGAACCTGCCCCTGAAATCAGTAGCAGCTCCCATCAGTTCTTAGCAGTGAGAACAGCGGTGGTGTGTGTGTGTGTGTGTGTGTGTGTGTGTGTGTGTGTGTGTAGTGCTATATAGCCACTCTCAGCTCTAACTGATGTGTCATGTCTGAGGGCCTTTACAGATGCTTCGTAATGGTGCTTATGTCTATGTAGGTCACACTCATTCTATTGTGTTAGGTGAGATTGAAGCTTATGTTTTGCCCACTTTATTGCATTATGACATGTTTGAATAAGGAAGAGAGTCAATGGGTTACTTACCTGCCAGGATGCCCAGAATGCTTGTGGTGTCCTGTCAGCCTGTGACAGTGGTCAGTGGCTGTGGTGGTGAGCAGGTCTACAACCTCAGGGTCAACAAATCTGCATGATCAGTGTATCTTGGAAAACAAGAAACTACTGTTACTTCATGCCAGGGAACTGGTAGCTTGTCCTACTTGTTACCTATTTGTAGCATTCGTTTCTGTTTGTTTCGTTTTGTTATTTTTCTTTGAGACTGGCTGGCCTGGAACTCGATATATAGAGTAGGCTGGCTTTGAACTCATAGAGATCCCCCACATCTTCCTCCCAACAGCTGGGATTAAAAGGCATGTACCACCACCTCTGGTGATCCTGGGGTTTGACCCTAGGCCGTGTTCATACTTAGCACTCTACAGTTGAGTGACAACCCCCAGTCCCCAGTCTCCCACATTCTTATCTTTAAGGTAAGACTTAAATTCCTTCTTCCTCTCTCTTTCGTTTTCTTTTTCTTCTTTTCAAAGGGTGGGGTGGGGGATGGGTGAAGGACAACTGCAGGTAACATTCCTCAGGGATAAGGTCAGACAGGCTGTGGAGGGGGAGAACCTCGGATCCACCCCACCCTGCGGGTGCTGAGTGTCACCCTTGGGCCTCTGTTTACATGGCAAGCACTTTACTGACTGAGCTATTTCCAGCTCTCTTTTTCCATTTGAAATCTAAATTCTTTCTTTGTTGTAACTTACACAGTGTAATTAAAAGCACACTTGACAACCAAACCAGTGGTTTTCCTTGCTTGGCTAAACTCCTTCTATGACTTCCGAAAATGGCTGCTTGTCACTGGCATCAACTGAAGGCTGTTCATGGTTGGTCTAACCCTGGAAAGAAGCGGATGGGTTTCACAGGTTTTGTTTATGAAGTTTAATTCTTCCTTGAATAATTACTCTTAATCATTCCCCATTCTTCCGCATTTTGTTCAGTTTTCCTACCAGGTAAATGCAGTTCTCCTATGGGTCAACATTAGTCATAAACCTAGAGTAGAGATTTGCCTAGGTTAAAAAGTTGAGAATTAGCCGGCATTGGTGGCCCATGCCTTTAATCCCAGCACTTGAGAGGCAGGCTAGGTCAAGGGAGAAACTGGTGTCAGGACAGGGCGTCTGCAAGGACCCCAGGGATGCAGCTCTGCTGTCTTGAGTCTCAAGGACATGTGAGGGGCCTGGAGAGCAATAGGGATGGGGGGGGGCGGTAAGAACAGAGAAGGCGGGGCTGGGAACAGGACTGGAGGGAGGGAGAGTCTAGCTTCCACTAAATCCCATGTGGAATCTTTGACAATGACGATGGGTCATGAAAATTCCTATTTTTCTCCCAGCACAGACATCTGTTTTTAAGCATACTGTGTGTGAGTTTCCTTGGGTCTGGAACTGCTGTGAGAGGCAGGCTCCCCTAGCATCTTTGTACCACATTCCCAGCTTCTCAGCTTCCTGGAGAATGTGGGGAATGAGTCCCTGGGTGGCCTGGCCTCCCCACTGGGTCTGGAAAGGCAGCTTCACAGTTGATGGAAAGTCCCCTCCCCCACCCCAAACCTCTAAAGGGCCTGGCTGGTTACATTGCCTTGGGGCCCAAAGCAGCTCAGAGTTAGACACCTACAGAAGAGCCCAGGTCAAGACTGAATCAGAGCAGGTGGTGGTGGCACACTCGGGAGCCAGAGGCAGGCTGATCTCTGAGTTCAAGACCAGCCTGGTCTACAGAGTGAGTTCCAGGACAGCCCCCAAAGCTACAGAGAAACCCTGTCTTGGAAAAAAAAAAAAAAAAAAAGTTGGAAATTATAATTGTCTGGACAAGATAAAAGTCCATTTTAGCCTGCTCTGCCAAGGAGCAAGAATAAGAACTTTTGGAAGAAAAGTTGATGAAAATGGGACAGAACAACTAAAATTTACATAACAAACATTTATTAAACAATCTTAAGTGCAGTTGTAACAAATTAGGTTGTATAGACTTTTGGAGAATTTTTTAGGATTAACTTTAAAAATACAATTTAGGGACTGGTGAGCTGACTGAGCAGGTGAAGGCACCTACCATCAGGCCTGAGGACTTGAGTCTGATTCCTGGGACCTGCATGCTAGAAGGAGAGCACTAGCTCTCCCAAGTTGTCCTCTGCCTTAATGCTTGATGTAGGATGTGCTCACCCAATACAA